CATATATCCGGGGTTTTGAACCGGGGACCTGCTTGCTCAGAGGCAGCAGCTGTACCAGTTGTGCCACGGTGCTGCCTGCAACTAATTCAGATCCTGTACATGTGTGTAAAACATGACATGGTGTGCATGCTGACATGAGGAGCTCAGCCCACACGGTGTCTCTGATGTTTGTTGCCTCCTTGTTGAGACGTCAGTAAAACTGTTTTTCATATTTCAAGTTGTTTCTGAACGTTGATAAGTTTTTCACTCGTCGTGTTTGTAGCTCCTTGAGAATTTATTCAAACCACAAATCTTCGTTTCTGTAAAACTTCTGGCGTTAGTCCGTTTCTGTCGTTTGACCTTTGACCTTACAAACTAATCCTCTGTCTTATTTTGAGTCCTCTCCAGAACCTTTGAGATGGTTCTGCTCAGGAACCAAACCGACCCGGTCACGTGACCTCCTTCAGTTTCTGCTGCCGTTTTATTAAATTAATTTCACTTTAGTTTGTTGAAACATTTTCACGCTGGAGGTTTTTAAATCCAGTTTGGTTTCAGAAGAACCAAACCGGGTCCAGTTTTCAGACCTGGACCCAGTTCACCCCTCATGGGCCTGAAGGGAAACGAGAAGTTCTGGGTTCTTCTCACTTTTCTGTCTGCTGTTCCTCCTGCAGAACATCGAGCTGAAGGTCGAAGCCGAGAGTCTGAAGAAGGAGCTGGAGGAGAAACAGGAGCTTCTGGACCAAGTTCTGTGAGTTCCCCACTTACTGATCCGGCCTCCTGACAGAACCAGGAACCAAAGACCAGATCCATGCAGCTCCCCGGTGGTTCTCTTCCACTTTTCGTCGGGTCGCCTGTGTAAACAAAGAAACGGGTCAAAGTCTGAGGCTTCGGCTCCACAAATCAACTCTGAGCTCACAGTTTATCATCAGAGCTCCTGATGGACCAGGAGGAGGTTCTGACCTGCTGAAACCCTCAGTCACGTCTGCCTGAGACACAGCTCCCATGACTTTAAACTTTATTTAGGATTTTAGTTTAAAGTTTGAACTTTAAGAAGCTCAGACCTGCTCGTAACATAAAAACTGTTCTTTGACCTCACAAGACACGTTTTATTCAAATTAACATGGGGGGGGGGGGGGGTGGGATGCGTTTGAAGCGCCTGGGAAAACGCAGTGAATTAGGTGCCAAGCTGAAGAACAGCCTTTAAATTTAAACCTTTTAATCGTTTTGCATGAGAGCAAACTTGTAAACATCCGATAAACTTGATGTATTTATTTATTTCTACTTGACGTTGGTGTGAAAAACGTCTGAAGGTCAAGTTTGAGCTCGATGAGAGCGTTCACCAGAACCCTCTCGTGCTTCCTGTCCACGTCTCGTCACTTTTCATTAACAGGAAGTTCAGGTCGTAAAATAAATCTGTCAGAACTTCTGGACCGGTTCTGGTTCTGAGCTCACTCGGATCCAAAGAGCCAGCTCTGAACAAATCCTGAGCATGTGACCTGACGGTTCTGATGCTCTGCCTGCAGGTCCACAGCAGACGGGTCGTCCAGCCAGAACGAGGCGGAGCCAGACGGCAGCCGAGCGAAGGAGATCCTGGAAGCTAAAGTTCAGCTGCTGGAGAAGGTGGGAGCACGGAGGAACTCCTCCTGCTGGTTCTGGTCAGACATGAAGACGTCAGGTTGTTGTTCTGTGTCGTCAGGAGGCCCAACTGGCTCGGGACCGGGCCCAAACCATGGCCCAGCGCTGCCTGGTTCTGGAGAGGGAGATGGTGGAGAGAATGGAGGAAACAGAAGGTTCTGGTGGACCAGAAGGTTCCGGTGGACCCGGCGCGCAGCGAGCTCCGACCGATGAAGACAGGTGATTCACCTGAAAACTGCACCCAGAACCTCCTGGGTTCTGATCACTTCAGCTTTGAGATGATCTAGAATCTGAAAATCAAAACATAAAAATCCGTCTCAGTTCTGGTTCGGGTCCAAACTTGAAAGGTTTCTCAGAACTCTGAAGTTCTTTTGGGTCCTCAAACATAAAACTTGGTTCTAGTCCTTTTTTATTAATCACACTAAATCTTGTTGGTAGAAAGTTTTTAATTTCCTACATTTTCAGGGCTCCACAAACGCCACACGGCAGAGGACGTGTTCAGGGAGACTCTCAGCTACTACCACACCAGATTTCACCTCATTATCTGTAAACCCATTTTTAAGATATTTTGCTGACAGTCAGACACAGACAGTCTGCAGGAACCTCTCTGGTTCTGGTGACCGTGACCCGAACAGAACCTTCAGCCCGTCTGTTTGTGTTTCAGGCTGATGGAGGAGCTGACGCAGCAGAACCACCAGCTGGCCCTGCAGGTCCAGGAGCTGGAGGTCAAAGTTCACGACCTTTCATCGTCTCTGAGGAGGAAGGAGCGGGAGGCGGAGGTAATCCTTCTTCACTGAGGTTCTGAAACGTTCTCCTAGCAGAACAAAGGAACGTTCTTCACATCTAAAGAGTTCAGGTTGAAACTGTTTCATCGTTTTACCAAATTATTCTGAACTGATTTAAAATATTTTTAATGTTTTAAGAGAAAACAACAAAAAAAGATAATGATGATTGAATGATGGATGGATGGATGCATGTATGATTGAATGATGGATAGATGATGGATGGATGGTGAATGATGATGGATGAATGGATGGAAGTGTGGAGGTTCTTCTTCTTCTGTTTTTGTCTGAACTGATTCAGTTCAGTCTCTGGAGGACCAGCGCCCCCTGGTGTCACATGACCAAAACTGCACAAAGAAAATAAAAATAGATTTTACTTTTTTAAATGTATACTCACAAAGATCAGTTTTAAATAATATCATTATTTATTCTGAAAATCTGTTTATTTATTTAAAAAAATGTATTGTTTTGTTCCTATTTAAAACATTTGTACAATTCATGTTTTTAAACATTTATTATTATTATTAATATTAATATAAGTGTATTCTGGGAGTGGATGGTGGATGAAATGTGGCGTCTGGAAGGGAACAGTTCTGCAGAACCTAAATCAGAACTCAAGCCTTGAAGCAGGAGTGTGAACTCAGAGCAGCCACACTCAGAATCTGATCCAAACCAACAGAACCTAGACAGAACCAACAGCAGAACCAACTGCAGAACCAACAGCAGAACCAAC